TGGTGGGAGTGTAAATTAACACAGCCATTATGACAGTGTGGAGGTTCCTCAAAAAACTAAAAATAGAACTACTATATGATCCAGCAATTGCACACCTGAGTATATACACAAAGGAATTGCAATCAATATGTTAAAGAGATATCTAGGCATCCATGTCCATTGCAGCATTATTCACAATAGCCAACATAAGTGTCCATCAACAGATGAATAGATAATGTGGTACATATACAATGGAATACTATTTAGCCTTAACAAAGGAAATTCTGTCATTTTTGACAACATAGATGAAACTAGAGAACATTATGCTAAGTGAAATAAGCCAGTCACAGAGACACAAATATTGCATAATCTCATTTATGTGTGGAATCAAAAAGTTGAACTTACAGAAGTAGAGAGTAGAATGGTGGTTACCGGAGGCTGGGGGTTGGAAGTGGGAACTGCAGAGATATTGATCAAAGGGTACAAAGTTTTAGTTAGACGGAAGGAATAAGTTTTTGAGATACATTGCACCACATAGTGACCATAGTTAATAATAATGTATTACATATCTCAACATTGTTAGAAGAGTAGATTTGAAATGTTCTCACTCCAAAAATTAAGTATTTGATGTAATGAATATGTAAATTAGCTTGATATAATAATTCCACTGTGTGTGTGTATATATATATTAAAACACCACACTGTATTCTATAAATATACACAATTATCTGTCAATTTAAAATATTAAAAAAGAACAGTTCTATTGCATAGTAAGTATTAGATATAAAACATTTATTAATAATAACTTTGTTTCAAAATGACAGACACTGATAACCTGAATATACCAAATTTGGTCAACTCTACCCATTCCTTCAAAATCACTGTGGAGTAAACATATGAACAGGAGAAAATATATTAAATGTCAAATGTTTGAATTAAAATAGAAATTTCGTTCACATTCTATAAAAAATGGTTACAAATTATTATTCAGAGCAAAGTTTTAGTTCTGAACTTGAAATTGTGTATAATAAGTGCAGTTTTACAGGTTACAACTGCCAACCTGGTTTTATTCAACTGAAAAATAGCAATAATAAATCCTCCAGTTAACATACTTAACATACCTTGAAAACATCCACTTTCCTCCACTCCTTAAGAAGCCTCACTAAAACAAAGATAAAGAAGGTTAAAAAGGGGACCATATACACATAAAAACAAAGAAAAGAGGAGAAGAGACAACAGAAAAATGCCGCAAAAGTTTAGATATCAGTTGATGTGGGTTGAGTTGCATCCCCCCAAAGGATACATTGACTGTGACCATATTTGGAAATAGGATCTGTGTGAATGGATCAAAAGAAGATAAAGTGATGGCCAGGTGTGGTGGCTCACACCTGTAATCCCAGCACTCTGGGAGGCCAAGGCAGGTGGATTGCTTGAGGTCAAGAGTTCAAGACCAGCCTGACCAACATGGTGAAACCTTGTTTCTAGTAAAAATACAAAATTAGCTGGCCCTCGTGGCACGTGCCTGTAGTCCCAGCTACTCAGGAGGCTGAGGCAGGAAAATTGCTTGAACCCGGGAGGCAGAGGTTGCAGTGAGCCGAGCTGGTACCACTGCACTCCAGCCTGGGCAACAGAGCGAGACTCCATCTAAAAAAAAAAAAAAAAAAAAGATAAAGTGATACTGGATTAGGGTGGGCCCTAATCTAATGGACTGCTGTCCTTACAAAAAGAGAGAGTTAGACACAGGCAGATGCTCAGGGAGAACACGTTATGACAGAGGCAGAGATTGGAGTGATTCATCTGCAAGCCAAGGAACGCCAAGGACTGCCAGCAGTCAACAGAAGCTAAAGCAAAGGCATGGCACAGATTGTCCCTCAGAGTCCCCAGGAGGAATCAACCTCCTGACACCTTGATTTTTTATTTCTAGCCTCTGTAACTGTGAGAGAATACATTTCCATAGTTTTAAGCCACCCAGTTTGTGGTAATTGTTATGGCAGCTTTAGGGAGCTAATATACTGGCGAACATATGGACTTCCCAGAGAAAACTGAAACCCAAGTGTTTTCAGAGTGATGCCTGGAAGCAAGCTCACTGATACTGCAGAACCTCACAATGGCTCAGGAATTGGAAGTACCATAGGTCTTCAGTGGGTTGAGCTGAAAAGAGACCATTAAAAGTCCCAGAAGCAGTTAAGACTCCTAGATTTCCTCCCTGGGCAAAGTCAGGGAAACATTCTCTATCCCTCATTCCCAACCTGAAGATTGTTTCTTTTGGGAGATATGGAATCAGAATATGGATTCAGGGACACCAGACACAGCTAAAGGTAAAAATGCTACTATGAAACAGTGGTGTTAAGTGAAGGTATGCATGATAATTAAATCTTATTTTATTTTTGTTTGAGACGGAGTCTCACTGTCGCCCAGGCTGGAGTGCAGTGGTGTGATCTCAGCTCACTACAACCTCCGCCTCCCAGGTTCAAGTGATTCTTGTATCTCAGCCTCCCAAGTAGCTGGGACTACAGGCATGCACCACTATGCCTGGCTAATTTTTGTATTTTTAGTAGAGATGGGGTTTCACCACATTGGCCAGGCTGGTCTTGAACTCCTGACCTCAAGTGATCCACCCACCTTGGCCTCCCAAAGTGCTGGGATTACAGGCATAAGCCACCACACCCGGTGGAGAGTTAATTTTATGTGTCAACTCGACTGGACCACAGGATGCCCAGATACCTGGTTAAATGGTATTTCTGAGTGTCTGTGAGGGCCCTGAGTAAAAGAGATTACCCTCACCAATGTGGGTGGGCATTGTCTTATCCATTCCGGTCTGAATAAAACAAAAAGGTAGAGGAAGGGAGGATTCACTCTCTCTCTGCTAGATTTCTTGAACTGAATCTTTGATCTTTTCCTGCCCTTGGTGATCCTGGTTTGCAGGACTTCAACTCGAACTAGAATCTACACCATCGGCTCCCCAGTTATCAGGGCTTCAAACTACAATATGGGCTTTCCGGGTCTTCAGCTTGCAGACAGCAGATTGTGCGGCGTCTCAACCCCCATAATCACATGAGCTAATAGATAGGTAGATACAGATATAGGTATAGATATAGATAAGTAGATATCTATTCGTTCTGTTTCTCTGGAGAACCAGGACTAATACAGTGCATATAATGAAATTATTAAGATTCCCAGCCTCCTTCCCACATTGGGCTCCAAGAAGTCTGTATATTCTCAAAGCGAGTAATTAGAAGATTACTCTCTGGAAGAAAATAAACAGCTGGTCCTTGCCCCCATCATCTTACACCTTGTCCAGCAGTGAACAAGCCTTGTCTATGTCCCCAAAGCACCCTTTCAGAGCCTCATTTTACATATAAATTGACAGCAAGGATCACCACACAAGATGAAGAATGTCTCTAGCAGAAACAACAGGGACCAAATATAAACAAACAACCAAAAAAGACTCAAAAGAAACAAAGTCAATGCAGAGTTGTGTAGAAAGCATTTTTTAAAAACCCTATAATTGACATATTCAAAAATAAAAGGAGCTATATTCATGAAAAATAATGTAATGCTATAAAAGAACAGAGAATTAAGAGCACTTAGGAATAAAGCTATAATAAAGAGAGTAATCTGATAGTCATTTGTCCAATTAAGTTGAAAAAGTCACAGAGAAAGTAGAATAAAAAGATGAAGACATAGAAAATACGGCCGGACAGGTAAGAAAAAACATCAGCCAAGAAGGTCCATGATCTAAATAACAAATTTCAAAAAAAGAAGAGCTATAATAAGGGGGTGGGTAGAAGAAATGATGAAATAAATAATACCAGAAGAATTCCCATAACTGAAGAACGTATGTTTCAGGATTGAAAAACTGACCAATAGGAATGAGAAAAGACCCCTAACCAGGACACTAGATTGTGTCTTAGAACACTGTGAATAAAGAAAAGATCCTAAAGCTTCTTGAGACAAAACAAAACAGAAACGAAAGTGGTTTACATATCAAGAAATTTAGTGACCTGTGAAGGAGAAGGAAATATAATGACGTAGAGTTTCTCAGCAATTCTGGAAGCTAAAATATTGTGGAGCAAGCCCTCCAATATTCCGGGTGAAAATTATTTTCAACCTAGAACTCTGTGCTCAGCCAGAATAAAAACAGTTCCAGATATGCACGCTCTGTGGGAAAAAAGACCTGGCAGCAGCCTCCCTTAAGGAACTATTGGCGGCTATGTTCCACAACATGAGGATATATAATCAAGAAAAAGGAAGACTCAGATTCAGGAAATAGAGAACTCATCTCAGGAATGAGGAATAAGACCTTCCCATGATGGATGTGAAGGAGGCCCAAGGACATCAGTTGAGAGCTGTGCCTTCCAGATTTTGATGTGCATAGGAATTACCAGGGGATCTTGTTGCAATGCAGATACTGATTCAGTAAGTCGGGGTAGGGCCTGAGATTTGGCGTTTTTAACAAATTCCCTCAGGATGCTGAGGCTGCTGGTTCAGGTACTACACTTTGCGTATCAGGGGTGTAGAGAAAAAACAGTCCAAATTTTACCTATAAGACGACGGTACGAAGACAGAGACCGACAGACATTGATTTCCTTCTTGGAGATAATCGGGATTGAATTAGTGTAAGCCAATAACCGTAAAGTAGGGGAGAGAGAGGGATGGGGGAGAAGGAGAAAAGGATTAATATTTTAAGTAAATATAAATGAAGAAAAAACAAGGAAGGGGCTGTATTAAGGACAGCCGCATACATCCAAACTTGCCTCTAGTAGACACCTAAAGAGGAAGGTTGGACCATTCTAACGGATTCAGATTCAGGAGTCTAGGGGGTCTCTGGAGCGAGCCTGGAAGATGCTCCTGAAAGCCTAGATGCAGACTACGCAGACAGAAGACGCTCCTTTCCCGCGCCCATTAGGGGAGTGGGCGGGGCCTCAATGCGCCCGGCGCCAGGTCTCAGGGGGCGGGGAATGGGCGGGGCCTTTCCCCTAAATTGGCGCGCCCCGGCGGCGCTGAGATTCGGATTGGAGGCTTTTGAACCCGGAAGCAGTTGGGGGCGCTCGGAAGCGGCCGCGTGTCGGGGAATTCTGCTGGCGCTGCAGCTGCAGAATGGTCGGCGGTGGCGGGAAGCGCAGGCCCGGCGGGGAGGGGCCGCAGGTACTGCCGGAAAGGCTGTGCGGGCTACGCGGGGCGCTTTGGGTGACAGCTAGGGCACCAGGAGGCAGCGCGTTTCATTCATCCAGTGATTATTAAGCTTGCTGTGTGTCTGGGGGCTGCGGTTTGCTGCGGGGACCCTGCCCAGGGCCGCTGTTTCGCGCCCTGCAGGGGGTTGGACAAGGAAAGTAGGGCTTCCGCGTCTTCTGCCCAGCTCCTCTTGGCGCATTTCCTGGGGAAACGGATTAAGCCAGCCGGCGGTTCATTCATTCGCCCAACCAGATTGATGGGGAACCGATTACATTCTAGACATTGTGCGGGACGCTGCGGATTCGGGGTCAACCCGCCTGCCCCTGCTCCTTGAGCCCCCCGGCCTGGGGAGGAGGGGCACAAGCGAATACGCAGTCTACTGTTACTTTTTTGTTTGGGATTATAAAGCTGGTGTGTAAAAAGTGCTATGGAAACACTGAAGGAGGATTTAACAAGTCCCAGGGGGTGTTAAAGAAGACTTTTAAGACAACTCTTTGAAAAAGGGTTTTGAAGGCAGATGAATAAGATTTTGAGACAAAAAACTGTAGGAGATGTTTGGGCTTAGTGGAGCGTTCGGCTTGGCTAGAGCCAGGGAAATGGGAAAGAGGGACCTGATCATAAAAGCACTATTGAGAGGGGAGGACGAGAAAGTATGTGCATTCTCTCGTAGTTTACTACGATTTCGGAAGTTCTGTAACCTCCACAGTAGCAATAAGGGGAATCAGGCAGGAAAGAGGTGCCGTTGTGATAACTAAAGTTTTAGAAAAATTCCTCTGGCAGTGCCATAAATCGGACAGGGTGAGACAGTCTTAGAGGGGTTAATTAACTGTTAAAGGGCTGTGCGTATAGGCATTCTTCATATTGGCTCATGCACTCTAGGAATACCAGGGCAAAGAAGAAGAGTAGCCTCCGAAGGGGACAGGTGTTCTAAATTCTAGTTGTTAGGGATATGGAGATGCTGAACTAGTGTGTGAGTTAAGGCACAGCTGAAAAAATTCTCTTTGAAGGTGCAGTGAAGAACTGCTTTGGTGGAGTGATGTGCTTAACTAGAAATACAATACCAGAAATGAAGATGAGTCTATAGAGACTATAACCATAAAGGCCAGCATTTGTGTATTATGTGCTAGGACTGTCCTGTATATTTTTACATATAATAACATTCCTTGTAACAACCCTGTGATATAGGCACTGTATGCCCTTTTTTGCAGATTAGAAAAGAAAACACAGAGAGGTTATGTAACTTGCCTAAGGTTGGAAATCAGTAGAGTCAGGAGTCTACCCAGGCAACCTAACCATTATGCAAAACTGCCTTTCAGCAAGGAGATTCAGCCTTTTCTAACATCTTCAGTTGGAGCCAGTCTTTGAAAGTCTGAACAAAGACTGTTGTAAAAACAGAAGACAGGATAGCTCAGGACTTCATATATTCCTACTGTTCTATATTTGCTGTTGGAGAAGCAACATAGTGAAGTGGTTGAGAATGTGCTGTGGAGCCAGATTTAAACCTGAGTTTAAATCCCTTCTCTTCCACTTCCTAGTTAGGGACATAGGGAAGTTAACGTCAGTTTCCTCAGCTGTAAGATGAGGTTAATAGTATCTAGTGATGAGACAGTTGAGGACTAAATGAGTTAATCCACAGAAGGTGCTTAGAACAGTGAAATAGCACAAAATAAGTTCTCAAGAAGTACGACTTACTACTTGTTTTTACTATGATCTTTACTATTTGCTGTTATTGATATTTCTGGATTCATTTTTCAACAGCCTTTTTGTTCAACGTGTTGTGTTTTTTTTTTTAATCAGACACATTATAATCCTTAGCATAATAAACTGTTACTATATTCATGATTGTCTTTGATCTTATTTATGTTAAGTAATAAACAGCTGTGAACCCATTGCTCAACCCCAAAGCTGAAACAAGACAACAGCTCTACATCTAAACGTGTTCCTCTCCTATGGGTTCAGCCTAACTTCTTCCTGTCAATTATGTTTGATGTAGCTATCCTGAATTTTGTTTTCCCTTGCCTTTTAAAAATAGGCTTATCTCCTATGAGTGTATACCTAAACAATATTTATTCTTAGTTTTTGAACTTCATAAAAAGGCTATCATGCTGCATATAATCAAAGGCTTTTTTCCTCATTAAAAATATTTACTATAGATTGGTCCATATTGTGTAGCCATGCAGTAACCATTCGGTACAGGACAGAGATTGGTTCCAGAGGCTTAGGAGAGCATACACTAATTTTTAAAGCAACAAGAAAACAAACCATCCATCTCATTAGCCAAAGAAAACAGTTAATAGTCTAGTATGCAGTAATACATTTCCATGTATCCCAAAATCTGAGCGTCCCCAAGTTCCAAAGTTGTTCCTGTGGAACCGGAGTATATGAAAAGTTGGCCCCCTCTATAAGTGGATTTTGCATCCCAAGAATACTGTATTTTTTTATTTGCATTTGGTTGGAAAAAAAAATTCGTGTATAAGTGGGTCCACAAAATTGAAACCCTTGTTGCTCAAGGGTCAACTGTAGTATTAAGTGTAATAGTCTATTGTTTGGAAGCCTTATAACTATTCTAACAATAGGTATTTCATTTGTTCTGTTTTGTTTGCTCTTGGAATCAATGCCATCATGACCATTCTTGTGTCATCTGATTACATTTTGTAGACGTTGAATGATACCTGACATAACATTAATAAACTTCAGACTACTGGAAAAATACAAGAATATAAATATGAGAATCATCTAGCTCAGAATTTCTCAACTTGAGCACTGTTGACATTTGGGGCCAGTAGTCCTGGTGGAGGATGCCTATCCTGGGCATTGTAGGATGTGGAGCATACCTGGCCTCTGCCCCACTAGCACCCTTCTTCCGACTGGTGACAACTAAATAGGTCTCCAAATGTCCCCTGGGGGGCAAAATCACCACCGGTTGAGAACCACTGCTCTAGGTAGGAAAGGAAAGAACTCAATCCAAAAAGAAAGAATCTAGGTTCATAGAAAGAAAAACAGATTGCTTCTTAGTAAACTAAACATACATAACCTCCCATTAAGCATATTGTCTTTACAGAAATTTATCAAATATCTAGTAGGCATTATAAAACCTAGCATACTTATGTAATGAACCTATACTGTGGGAGTCCTAGAGATGAGTATTGTAACTTAATCCTGGCATTTAAAGGCCTTTTCTGAAATAATTGGATTTTTGGCCTAGAGTTTAGTGCTATTCTGCTAGCTTTGTTAGGAACTGTGGATGTTTAACATTGTCACTAACTTTCCCTCTTTATTTGGAAAATCAAAAGGAGGTATCTGTTTTTAAGGCTGGGTAATGAATAGCTCAGATACAACTCTGGATGTTGCTGAAGAAACAGCCTTTTTTTTTTTTTTTTTTTTTTAATTATACTTTAAGTTCTAGGGTACATGTGCACAATGTGCAGGTTTGTTACGTATGTATACATGTGCCATGTTGGTGTGCTGCACCTATTAACTCATCATTTACATTAGGTATATCTCCTAATGCTATCCCTCCCTCCTCCCCCCACCCCACGACAGGCCCCGGTGTATGATGTTCCCCACCCTGAGTCCAAGTGTTCTCATTGTTCAATTCCCACCTATGAGTGAGAACATGCTGTGTTTGGTTTTTTTTTTCCTTGCGATAGTTTGCTGAGAATGATGGTTTCCAGCTTCATCCATGTCCCTACAAAAGATGTGAACTCATCCTTTTTTATGGAGAAACAGCTTTTTAACTGATGAATTGCTTATATCCAGTTACTTCTGACTGTTTCTGGTGTGATCAATGAATCTGTTTAAAAGACTCACACCTTTAACCAAAAGAGGGAAAAATTCTTTATTCCTCTCTCCCTACTCTTTATTTCTTTTTTTTTTTTTTTTTTGCCTTTTTGGTTTTTGTGGTTTCCATTATCTTACAAAAATATATTTAAGGACTTGCTGTGTGGATTCCTCTTAACCACCATATAAACTACTCTTTTTTCCTGTGCCCAAATGAATTCCCAGATTTTACTCAAATACCATTTAGAGAGTTTTGAGGAAAACACATGTATTTCATAGAGCTGGGTGAACAAGAGTGAGTGATACTGTTATGCAAGGAGAGTTACTGAAATTACTAAAGATAATTTGGAGAACTAAAGTTTGTGTGCTAATTTTCAGTGTGAAAAAACAGTTGATGAGAAGAAAAGTAAATTCTGTGAAGCTGATGTCTCCAGTGACCTTCGAAAAGAAATAGAAAATCATTATAAGCTTTCTTTACCTGAAGATTTCTATCACTTCTGGAAGTTCTGTGAAGAACTTGATCCTGAAAAGCCATCTGGTGAGTTGCTCCAGAATCATTCTTGTATTCATGGAAAAGGTAATGTAATAGGAAACGAGCTGGGTGTGGTAGCTCACACTCTGTAATCCCAGCTGAGGGAGGGGGATCGCCTGAGGCCAGGAGTTTGAGACCAACCTGGTCAACATAGTGAGACCTCTTCTTTAGAAAAAATTAAAAAAAAAAAAAAAAAAGCTATGCATGGTTGCATGTGCCTATAGTCTCAGCTACTTGGGAGACTGAGATGGAAGGATCCCTCCTTAAGCCCAGTAGTTCGAGGTTGCAGTGAGCTCTGATCACTCCAGCCTCAGTGACAGAGCAAGACTCCGTCTCTAAAACATACAATAATTGCCCAGGCATGGTGGCTTATGCCTGTAACCCCAGCACTTTGGGAGGCCGAAGCAGGGAGATCACTTGAGGTCAGGAATTTGAGAGCATCCTGGGCAACACAGTGAAACCCTGTCTCTACTGAAAATACAAAACTTAGGTGGACATGGTGGCGCACACCTGTAGTCCCAGCTACTTGGGAGGGTGAGGCATGATCATTGCTTGAACCTGGGAGGCAGAGGCTTCAATGAGCCAAGATTGCGCCACTGCACTCCAACCTGGGTGACAGAGCGCAAGACCTTGTCTCAAAAAAAAAAAAAAAACCTAACCAAGGATATAAACTGTTCATAGAAAAGGAATATTTTCCAAGATATTTCTGGTAAGAGAAAATATAGAAAGAAATATAGATTAATGCTGTAGTAATGCCACTGTCACCTATTTTTTTGGCAAAGGTAAATAATTTCATTACATTCTGGGGGAATGTGAAGGAAAGCAAGCTCTTTCATATGTTGCAGGAGTTATAACAGTTCTGCTTCCAAGCACTTCTCTTATGGATTACATAAACTAAGAATTTTGTGTGAGGATGTTTACTTACACAAAAAATGGGAAATGGCTTAAATGCCTACCAATACCACATCTCTTCAGTAGATCATTCATTGCTTTTAAGCATGAAGCAGATTTTTAGGAAACAAACTATCATGCATGAAATAAGTGAAAAAGAAGAGTGTATAGAATATGCTACCATTAGTATATTTTTTAAAACGGGAGGGTGGGGAGAGGGAGTACACACATATCCCTGTGTACTTTTCTGTGTGCTTATTTTGTCTCTGAAGGGATAAAGAAACTGTTAATGGGCTGTGATCATTACTTCGCACAATACTATTTAAATTTTTTAACTAGTAAGCACTGTCATACACCATTGATGGAAACGTATATTGATACATATGCTGAATTTTGCCAGTAGATCAAAACAGAACTGTGTAGTTGTTTCTTTAAAAATAGTCATACCTGTATACAAACATTTATTAGCAAAGATGTTCACTGAAACATTTTAGAACAAAAAGAAGAAATAGTAAATATCCCTCAGTAAGAGAATAGATGGTTACCTCTTTATAATGCAGTATCATGCCCTATTAAAAAATCACATAAAATAACATTGAATAGCATGGAAAAATATTCAGAAAATTTAAATGGGACAGGATGGAGGACAAAAGCAGATTACAAAACAACCCTCAGTTTGTTCCAGATTTGTATCTGTTCATGGGGGTGGCGAGTGTGGAAATTTGTTACTGTATAATAGACTATTAACTGTTATCTTTGGCTAATGAGATGGACGGTTTTAGTTTTCTTAATGCTTTAAAAATTAGTGTATGCTCTCCTAAGCTCTAGTTCAGCTGAACTATTTTTCCTGTCAAATTATCTCCATGCTTCTATTCATGTTATTACCTCTCCCAGGAATTTTTTTGCTTTCTTCATCCTTGCCTCCTTATAAAACTGGGTCCTCCCTGGAGTGCTCCCCTCCGTCTTAGAAGCAAGGACCCATTTGAGGTTATGCATTGTACATTTGCACAGACTTCATGTTTTTGTGGTTTGTGAACACTCCCTGTCTGTGATCTGTGAATAGAGAAGGAAGACGGAGTCATCCAGGGTTAGGGTTGGCCAAATAGATTGTCAAAGAGTCAGGGGAATCTGGTGTGATTACCTAAGGTAGAGGAAAGGGGATAGAAATGTTTTTTTACTTATTTATTTATTTATTTATTTTTTGAGACAGAGTCTCACCCTGTCACCCAGGCTGGAGTGCAATGGCGCTATCTCATTTCACTGCAACCTCCACCTCCAGGGTTCAAGTGATTCTTGTACCTCAGCCTCCCCAGTAGCTGGGATTACAGGCGTGAGCCACCACACCCGGCTAATTTTTGTATTTTTAGTAGAGATGGGTTTTGCCATGTTGGCCAGGCTTGTCTCGAACTCCTGACCTCAGGTGATCAGCCCACCTCAGCCTTCCAAAGTGCTGGGATTACAGGTGTGAGCCACCGCACCTGGCCTGTTGTTTACTCCTCTTAATCCACACATCTTTGCTATCTTTCTCTCCCTTAACCTGTGTGTGCTACAAGTATTTGAGGCTAACTGCAGTGTGGTAATGGGCCTGTAGAAATGCTAACCAGTCTTGCTTTGGCTAAAATAAGAAACAACAGCAGTGTTTAAAATGTTAGGCTAATTCAGTGATAAATTTAAGAGGAAATCCTAAACGTAAATGCCACTTTTCCTGTTACTCTGACTTCTTTTCTATTGAATGTTTATAACTGACATCTTCACACATAGCTCAAGATTTTCTTTTACTTTAGAAACTTTTAAAGACAATTGCTTAGAAATAGTTTACTAACTAAAAGCATTATTTCCTATCTGTCTCCAGAAAGTATTGTCTAAATTTATTTTCTTTATAGATTCACTTTCTGCAAGCCTTGGACTTCAATTAGTTGGTCCTTATGATATCCTTGCTGGAAAACATAAAACGAAGAAAAAATCAACAGGCCTGAATTTTAACCTTCATTGGAGGTTTTACTATGATCCTCCTGAGTTCCAGACCATTATTATTGGAGATAATAAAACTCAGTACCACATGGGGTATTTCAGGTAAAGGATCTTTTCTTCACCTCTAAAATACAGCTGCTGTCCTGCTAATGAGGATAAATAGTTATTCACTAGCCTCACCTATTGCAGAATCTGGCCAGCAGCCCGCAATGCAACGGATCTCTGTCTTTGTTACCAGGAGGATCGGCAGGTCAAGAAATAATAGACACACACAAGATAGTGAAAGCTGGGTCCAGGAGGTCACTGCCTTCTGGTCCCGCGGTGCCACCAGTACACTGGAAATACCAGCATTTATTATTAAGTTTAGTGAGGGCAGGGTAGGTTAGTGAGGAATTTAGGGTTGTTTGATTATGAGGTGAGATGGTCACATGGGGATGAAGTAATTCTTTAACATAACATCTGTATGCAGAAGTACAGTATATAGAGATAAGAATTTACAGTATAGTGTGTGCATCAGTAATTTCTAACAGAGCCTTAAAACAGAACCACGGTCTTTCCATCACCTATGATTAGCAAGATACTGATCAGCAGTAACAGTTGCAGCAAAAGCTGGTTACAAACAATCCATAGAAACAGGACGTGAAGCTAGACAACCGGTTAGACCAGAAATTCTCAGAAGGGAGTATGTCTTTAACCCTAAAGAGGCCTAGAAGAGCCGTGGCAAGATGAGGGCGTTCATAGCCCTATCTTATCCATATGGACAGGCGCCCCCCACCCATGCATCTGTTATAGGCTCTCCACAAGGGTCGCATTCCATTCCCAGAGCTATGAACATCTGCTTTTCCGGGATAGGAATCTTGGTGACGTGGAACCTCCCTGACTGCATGTCCGTTCATAGGCTCTCTGCAGGGGGAAGCACATCACACGCTGTTGGCTCATTCTGGCAGTCCAACCTGGCATTGTCTTTACACCATCCTGCATGCAATTTTGTATTTGCAATAATAGGAGCATTTCATCTTTTATTCCGTAGCAATAGTTTCAGGTGGTCTCCCTACATCTCCCCCTTTTCTCTGATTTAAATGAACCGTAGCAATCATAGCTTGCTGCTGATCACAATTGGATTGAAGAATATTTTTTCCAACTTTACACATGAACAATAAACTAATAGCACAAATTATACACAGAACAAAATTAACGATAGTGAATCCTCCCAAAGATTTTGCCTATTGAATGGGGTTGAGATTAGATAACCCCTTACAGATACAGTCTAAAACTTCAGCACCAGGTAAAGCAGTTAAGTGTGCTTGAGAGGCCTCAAAAATCTGTTCTTTGAGCTTGCTTATGTCTAAACTTAAATTATCTTCACTTCCTTGTAAATGACGTTTTACTGATTCCCAATTGTGAACAGATTCATTATATTGGAACAGAGTTATACAAAAATCAGAAGTATTCCAATCACATTGCATTTGTAATCTATGTTCTAGACTCATAATTTTATCTCCCATCCATATAACAGTTTGTTAATCGATCATTAATTCGATTGACCAATTTTTGATCAATACTTGACTGAGAATTCCACATCCGAGTAGAATTTTTTGCCATTTATCCACAAAATGAACAGCGTGAATAGATTGATGTAATGCAACTCCAGCAGTAGCAGCAGTTGCAGTAACAGCAATCAAGCCCATTATTACTACAGTTAATGTAAAAATAAATCATTTACTCCTTTTAAGAATTTTCTGTAGAATATTATTAATGACCTGGATAGAAGGGGAAGATTCCCAAGGCCTATGTAAGGCTACGGGGAGCCAAATACCTTTGCTGGCTCTGACTATTAAAATACTATGATATTGATTAAAGGATGAGTCAATACAAGTATACAAGTAACAATTAACACAGGTAATTATGTTGGTGTTTGAATTAATATGCATCTTTCCTACTAATAGCATATATGGTGTTTTAACACAACTTTTAAGTGGTATAGTTTTGTTGGATTCCATATAGATAGTATATATATTTTGGGATGGTATTCTTTTTTGTGAATGTGGGGTGGGGGGAATAGGTTGTACGAGAGGTGGTGGGGGCACATTAGCAATGGGGGGGTATAAGTCCTCATAGTCTTTACTATCCCGTCTTTGAATTGACCTTTTGACGATTGCCATAGTGATATTTTTGGCTGTGTGAAAATAGTAGTGTAAATCAATCTGTTATCTTAGTTTTCGAGGTGACAAGGTGGATTTACTTATAACACTTTCTCCAGCCCAAACTCTCATACCAGTCATAGCTATGGTTAATCTCCATAATTCTGAATGTTCAAGTCCTAAGTGGGGAACAATGAGCCTTGGCTTTGCAGTGGCAACCCCTGCCCCTTTCCACTTAAAAGGAAAAAAGGAGTTAAATATACGACATAATAGGGGAGGGTTGTCACTACTTTTTTGGTAAGTAATATCATAGAGAAAATGTTGACAATCTCTGTGACCTTAACGGCAATCATTAGTAATATGACCTTCAGGAGCCCAATCAACAATGGTGTAGTGAGAAGAATTAAATCACACAGTTCCTTCTGGACTAACACAATCCTTCCGTATTAATTTGTCAGTATTTGAAGACAAGTTCAGGGGACACGCAGTTCCTAAAGGCTTATATTGGGATGTGTGAATATAATCAGTGATTCCTATTTTGATCTGTTTTAGAGGTTTTAATGAGAACCCTGATACCAAGTGTCCTACAGGAGGGACAGAGTGACTAGATGGTAGTGTGACTGCCCAAGTTTGAATATCTAATGAGAGACATCCATTAGTGGGTCCGAGGCACAAAGGTGGATACCTACAACCTAAAGTGATATTGGAAGGGGTTCCTTCTGAAGGTTGGGCAGGACGACGATCATCTACAGAACCAGGCATCCAAACACTATCATTAACATAGACCTTGATAGGAGCATCCATCCATGTCATGGCTCAAATAAGAGGAGGAAAAGGAATATAGGCCCAATATGTATAGTTTTTAACAGTCTGTGGAGTGACAGAGGGTAGAAGGATTAGTGTCATCAGGAGGAGGCAGAGGTTGAGGCAGACCTGGATCGCTGCAGACAAGTTGTTTAGGATGACGGACTGGATTGTCTGTCGTAAACGAGTTAGCGTGGTCATTTTCTTCTTTTTGACCATTGGATGTGTTAGTTGTTTCCTGCTGTAGCATTTTTTCAGCAAATTTCTCTGTCTTGTTGTTGCATGCATCTTCAGGACACAATTTCAGGTGTCTAACAGGAATCCAAACAGGAGATTGATGTTCACCTGGGGAAACACAAGCATAGCCTCTTCCCCACGTTAAAATAGAATCTTTTGACCGTATATTAGATTGAACATCTTTCCACCATACTTCCCCTCCATGGTTTACCGTGGGACAGTTACCAGAGAAATGTTTTTCAGCAGCAGTAACAGAACTAGATTTAGGAATATTAAGAAAAATTAACGTGAACAATTCCAAGTTTAGTTGTATGTGAGCGGTAGACAACTCCTTATCCCCCTCTTTTTGTTTAAGTAATTGTAATTTTAAAGTTCTGTTCTTTCTACAAGAGCTTGGCCTTGTGGGTTATAAGGGATACCAGTAATACGTTTAATATGCCACTGATCAAGAAAATTTTTTAAAGCTTTACTGCAATAGGCTGGACCATTGTCTGTTTTGAGCTCACTAGGAATTCCCATAACTGCAAAACATGAAAACATGTTTTTTAACGTGAGAAGTGGCTTCTCCGGTTTGACAGGTAGCCCAGATGAAATTGGAAAAGGTGTCAACTGTGACATGCATATAAGCTAATTTTCCAAAATAAGGAACATGAGTAACATCCATTTGCCAGATAGCATTAGGAGAAGGCCTCGGGGATTAACTCTGGGAGATTGTGTGGGTAAGACAAGAAACTGACATTGAGAACAGTGTTGTACAATTTGTTTAGCTTGTTTCCAAATGAGAGAATATTTATGTTTAAGACCTGAGGCATTAGTATGAGTTGATGAAATTGTTCTGCATCTGAATGGCTAGAGAAACTAGAGTATCAACTTTATGATTACCACTAGATAAAGGTCCAGGCAAATTAGTATGAGATCGAAAGTGAGTGATGAAAAAAGAGTGGTTTTTCAGTTTCTGACAGTTTTTTGTAACACAGGGAACAAGGAAAATAGATTAGTGTCAGTAATATTTTTGATGGTAGCTGTTTCTATTGCCTTAGTGGCATGGACTACATAAGCTGAGTCAGAGACAATATTAAGAGGCTGATCAAAATCCTGTAATGCAGAGATAACAGCAAACAACTTGGCTTTTTGAGCAGAAGTATATGGAGTAGAAATGACTTTATCTTTTGGTGCTGCATACCCTGCCTCTCCATTACTGGATCCGTCGGTAAAAATGGTAACGGCTGCCTCTAGTGGTGATGAACGAGTAAGTTTTGGTAGAATCCAGGAAGTATTTCGTAGAAATTGAAAGAATTTTGACTTAGGCAAATGATTATCAGTAGTGCCAATGAAGTCAGCCAGATTAGTCGGCCAGCACAAAAATGTGGAAAAGGCATGTTAAACTTCATTTTTTGACAAAGGGACCATAATAATATTTGGATCAAAGCCGTTGATACATTGATGTTCTAATCCAATCAAAGTGGCCATTTGATCAAGATATATTGAAAGAGGTTTAGAGGCTGAATTAGGAAGAAATACCCATTCAACTAGAGAATCATTTTATACTATAAGTCCCGTAGGAGAGTGGATGGAAGGAAAAACTAAAAATTGTAAAGGCAAATTTGGGTAGATACAAGAGACTTGTGCCTCTCTCACTCTTTGTTCTACAAAGACAACTCTTGTTTTGGTGGTTTAGATAGAGGGCAAGGGCTGTTTAAATCTGTATCTCCTGATAGAGTGGCAAATAGATGAGATAATGCATAAGTAGGGATGCCTAGGGTTGGTCTGAGATAATTGATGTCACCTAGTAATTTTTGAAAATCATTTAAGGTGTTTAAATTGTCAGTACGAAGTTGGACTGTTGGGGGCTTAATGGAGTGAGCTTCTCGCTGCATTCCTAAGTACAGAAAAGGAGTGGCTTGTTGAATTTTATCAGGAGCAATGTGGAGTCTTGCATTAGCAACAGCTAATTTTAAAGAAGTAAAACATTGAATTAATTCATCTTTAGTGGGAGCAGCAATCAGTATATCATCCATATAATGAAGAATGTTATTATTTTTAAAAGTCTGTCGGATAGGTTGTAACACAGTACCAAGAAACAACTGACAAATAGCAGGACTGTTAATCATTCCTTGAGGTAAAACTTTCCATTGATATCTAGCTGCGGGAGCTGAATTGTTAACGAAAGGTATAGTGAAAGCAAATTTTTCATGGTCTGACTTGTCTAAAGGAATACGAAAAAAGCAGTCTTTAAGATCAATGATAATTAAAGGCCATTCCCTAGGAATCATGGAGTGGGAGGGCATACCGGGTTGTAACGCCCCCCATAGGTTTAATAACTGCATTAACGGCTCTCACGTCTGTTACCATCCTCCATTTTCCTGACGTTTTTTGTGCAACAAACAGGCGAGTTCCATGGAGACAAGGAGGGTTCCATAGTGTTTGCTTGTAGTAAGTTATTAACAATTTCAATTAACGCCTCCAACTTGTGTTTGGAAAACATCCACTGCTCTACCCAGAGAAGTGACTCATACATCCATTGTGCAGGGGCAGAGGAAGAGAAGGAGAGTGAGGGTGCCAAGCCTCTGAAAGAAGGGGTCCCAGAGCGTCGAAAGAAACAGTAGGCTTAGAAGAGGGAAGAGGTTCAAAAGGACGAGAAGAATGAGAAACAGGCCATTCAGATGAATGCCATACATCCTCCTCTGGCAGAGGGGGCAACGGCTTAGTAGAAGAAGAGTTGACATATACAAGTTTCAAGATAGGAGGCAGAGGGAGGGGATCATCTCCAGGTTCCTCCTCTTGGGGAGAAAACAAGGAGAGATCGAATTCTTCCTCATCATCAGAAGGAGGGCTAGTAGCGGGGTCAGCTACCCGAGGTAAAGAGACCGGCTCACCATCCGCATTAACTTGTGGCAGTTGAAGAGGATCACCAAACTGAAAAGGAAGTAAAGCAACACAAATAAGAGCCCAGTCAGTCCAAACAGAAATAGGAAGTAAAACACCATCTCTCATGAGTTGGCAGAGCGTGGTGCCAACTCTATCCCAGTCTGATAGGTCCATAGAACCTTTGTCAGGGAACCAAGGACAGTGTCTTACAATTGTCTGAAATAAGAGAATAAGGTTATTGGAATCAGCCTTGATTCTATCCTGTTTAAGAAGTTTAATAAAAGACAGATAAGCCTGGTGTTTAGACTGTGATTGTCCCATAATAACCCTGGAATAATACCAGTCAACAAACCCAAAAAGGGGAGAGTCGGAAAAAGCGTACCTGGAGACTTTACCGTTGAGACTGAAGACTAGTCGTCATGAACCCGTACTCGGAGTGCACTGAGCTGAGGAACAAAGAAGGCCACGTTGGGCACCAGATATTGCGGGATCTGGCCAGCAGCCAGCAATGCAGCGGGGCTCTCTCTTTGTTCCCAGGTGGATCAGCAGGTCGAGAAATAATAGACACACACAAGATAGTGAAAGCTGGGTCCAGGGGGGTCACCGCCTTCTGGTCCCGTGTGCCGCCAATACACTGGAAATACCAGTGTTTATTAAGTTTAGTGAGGGTGGGGTAGGTTAGTGAGGGATTTAGAGTCGTTTGATTATGAGGTGAGATGGTCACATGGGGATGAAGTAATTCTTTAACATAACATCTGTATGCAGAAGTACAGTATATAGAGATAAGAATTTACAGTATAGTGTGTGCATCAGTAATTTCTAACAGAGCCTTAAAACAGAACCACGGTCTTTCCATCACCTATGATTAGCAAGATACTGATCAGCAGTAACAGTTGCAGCAAAAGCTGGTTACAAACAATCCATAGAAACAGGACGTGAAGCTAGACAACCGGTTAGACCAGAAATTCTCAGAAGGGAGTATGTCTTTAACCCTAAAGAGGCCTAGAAGAGCCGTGGCAAGATGAGGGCGTTCATAGCCCTATCTTATCCATATGGACAGGCGCGCCCCCCACCCATGCATCTGTTATAGGCTCTCCACAAGGGTCGCATTCCATTCCCAGAGCTATGAACATCTGCTTTTCCGGGATAGGAATCTTGGTGACGTGGAACCTCCCTGACTGCATGTCCGTTCATAGGCTCTCTGCAGGGGGAAGCACATCACACGCTGTTGGCTCATTCTGGCAGTCCAACCTGGCATTGTCTTTACACCATCCTGCATGCAATTTTGTATTTGCAATAATAGGAGCATTTCATCTTTTATTCCGTAGCAATAGTTTCAGGGAGTCATCCAAGGTGAATGGCATATTTTCCCCTGTTGATGGATAGATGAGTCATCTATTGTTCTTGCTGTTACCATTTTAACCTTCCCTAGGATGGGTAAACTCTTTAGGTTTAATCTCACTGATTTTTCCTTTCCTTGTAAACCTTTTTTTCCCTTTTGGGTTCAGAAGAGCGCTTTTGGCCCAAGAAAGATAATTTAGAGCAGCTGTGCTTAATAAGCCGTGTGCTGCCAGGTGCCAGAGTGGCAGATGGTAGTTAAGAGTGGTCTCTGGAGTCACACTGGTCCTCTTGTTTATTATCTGTGTGACCCTGTATCATTAGTGACTGTGACTTTCTGTGACTCGGTTTCCTGTCTTGTAACAATAGGGATAACTATACATACCTGATGGGAATATTATGAGAATTAAATGAATGCATGCAAAATACTTAGAAGGTTAAGAAATAGAGAAACTCCAGGAGGAAAATTTGTCCATTTGTACCAGTAGAGATGCTGTTCTTTAAAGTGAAGATTAAATGTAAGGTAATAGAAGGAACATTCCCAGGGAGAAGTGTTGTAGTACAGTAGAATGCACATGGGGCTACGAATTGAATTATACTGTAGCCAGCGTCCTAACTTACTAGGACCTTGGCTGAGTGATTTAACCTCTCAGTATTTGTTTCCTCAATTTTAAAATAAAAGGATTTGGTTATATACATGAATAAGATCCTTTCATCGGTAATGTTTTACAATCCTTTTTCTTGTTTTTCCCTTTTTTTTTTTTTTTTTTGTATTTGAGTATAAAAGCAACTAGGTCCTAAGAATCTTAGTTTTAGGTTCCGTTATATAAGATTTATCATAGATACTCCTAAGAAACTTGGAGCTTAAAAGTTTTGTTTCATTTTTTAAAAAATGCCCTTATAAAAAAAAAAAGGCCTCAACCTAGATCCTTGGGAGGGACCTGGCTTTCCTTTTTAAAAGATATTTTACTGAAGAGCTAAAAAATGACTAGTGTGGGGTTAGCAGATCAAATAATTTGAAGTAGACCATGCTGTATTCCTAGCACTACAATGTAATCATCCTATTTGTGACAGAGAAAGGGAAAAAAGTATAGTAATAGGATGATGTACCTATAATTTGAATAATTTTGAGCTATTGAAATGTCTTTGTAATTTTCGCAGCTATTGTCCATTGTTTGAGGTTGTTACGTACTAAACTGAAAACATTCCATATCTACTACATATACACCAGCAACAGTATAAATGTAAGCCTAACTTTGCAATATTTATAATACTGTAGTGATGGAATTTTTTAACATGTAGTATGTAAATGTGCAGATTTTATACGTGTTGACAAAATAATTTTTCAGCTTGCAAAATGGGACGCAATATTACATTTTTCACTTAAGCAATTTTTTACATCTCCGTTGTTGCTTTCTGAAATGAATGTGAATGCCATCTTTTATGACTGCAACTTGCCTTTTCCATTACAGACATTTTTGTTTGATGTAATCAATAAACTTTGGTATGATTAAAAAAAAAAAGGCCTCAAAAAAGGAAAAAAAAAAAAAGGCGTAAATTGTTGTCTGTAGACCTGAAATCCCACTTGCCTGATAATATAAATTAAGGGCAGCTAAATTTTTAATGTCTTTTGCTTACACAGGGATTCTCCTGATGAACTTCCTGTATATGTTGGTATAAATGAAGCAAAGAAAAATTGTATAATTGTTCCAAATGGAGATAATGTATTTGCTGCAGTCAAGTAAGAATATTTTATTTCAATTTCTCTTATATTTGTTTACCACGTTTATACTATATGAGCTCATTACAAAGGGGGTTTGAGGGGCAGGGCGCAGTGGCTCACACCTGTAATTCCAGCACTTTGGGAGGCTGAGGTGGGCAGATCGCTTAGATCAGGGGTTCAAGACCAGCCTGGACAACATGGGGAAACCCCATTGCTACTAAAAATACAAAAATTAGCTGGGGGCATGGTGGCACACACCTGTAATCCCAGCTACTCAGGAGGCTGAGGCAGGAGGATCTCTTGAACACGGGAGGCAGAGGTTGCAGTGAGCCGAGATTGCGCCACTATATTCCAACCTGAGTGACAGAGTGAGACTCTGTCTCCATAAAAAACAAAGCAGATTTGAGGCAAGCCCATAATTGTAGATTTCTAGAGATAATTTCCATGACTTTTGCAGGTAGTCTTATCTATATTGTTATTTTGTCACTCTTCACCAAAAAATACACCTCTTATGTAACTATTTTACTTAAAATAATACTTGACCTCAGGTATTCCATGGCAACATGAACAGTTTTGTTAGACATCTGATTTTAAACGCTTGTTAAGAGTTCATTACTTGTGTACAGTTCAAACAGAAAGGCTTAATAGAGTAAAAAGAGGTGGTCATAAAATCCTTGGAAGGGTTGAGGGAGCAGGCTGAGCTTCCAGGAATGACAGTTGTGTGGCTTACAGTGGATTTTATGTCTCTGCCACCATCAAGAAGCTGGGAAATCGAGAACTGCTGCCACAATGAGTGGCTCTAGGACCACATTATCTTTGGTTTAATCTGGGCCAGGTAAATGGATTCCCTACCGTTTGCCTCTCAGCCCGCCTGAGGCTAAGAACCAGGTGCTGGGATCTCAGCTACAGCTGCTGCAGAACCCTCAGCTGCCTCTACAGCTGTGCTCACTGATGGAGATCGTGGAAGCACAGCGTCCACCTGATACCTCTTCTGCCTCAGAGATTTTAAAGTATTGCAGCTGCTTGGAAGAAGCTAGGTCCCATGTGGAGCCTGAGCTCAAGAGTAGTAAGGGAAATGCAGCAAACTTTCATGGGAGGTGATTGGAATAGAGCTGAGTGAGCCAGGCTGCTATATCAGCCACAGACATGACTTGAAGCCATTTTACTTGTCAGCCGCTGTGTAGTTTGCATTGTAATGAAGAAAGCAAACTTTATCGCTTCAAATACAAGTAGATTATCTTTTCTTTGACCTCTTTTAGTCTCTTTCTTTGACTCTCTCTTTAAAGGGTTTTTGTTCCCTGGGATTTGATAATATAAATTTGCAGTAAAGCGAATTCAAACTAAATCAGCCTACTACAACCACTAGACTATGCTACGTTCATCCTGGTTTATCTACAGGGCAGCTACATTGTAGATGTCCAAAAATGTTCTTTCTTTTCTAATACCTCTCAGTTTCCTATAAAATGTTGCTTGGTATTTGTAATTTATAACTTCTTATAAACTCTTCAGATTTACCATTCAATTTAAATTGGTGCCATCTTTATTAGAAACTCCTGTTTTCTTGGTTGTTGTCTGTGTCTTGCACTAGCATGTAAGTTCCACGCGGGCAGAGGGTTTGTTTTGTGCACAGTATCTGCCCCATAGTAGATGCTCCATAAATATTAATTCTATAAATACCTTGGCATGTAGAAACACCTCATTTTTTCAGGCTGGGTAACATAGTGAGACTGTCTCTTTTTAAAAAACAAGCCTATATACCCAGTAATGGGATGGCTGGGTCATATGGTACATCTAGTTCTAGATCCTTGAGGAATCGCCATACTGTTTTCCATAATGGTTGAACTAGCTTACAATCCCACCAACAGTGTAAAAGTGTTCCTATTTCTCCACATCCTCTCCAGCACCTGTTGTTTCCTGACTTTTTAATGATTGCCATTCTAACTGGTGTGAGATGGTATCTCATTGTGGTTTTGATTTGCATTTCTCTGATGGCCAGTGATGATGAGCATTTTTTCATGTGTCTGTTGGCTGTATGAATGTCTTCTTTTGAGAAATGTCTGTTCATGTCCTTTGCCCACTTTTTGATGGGGTTGTTTGTTTTTTTCTTGTAAATTTGTTTGAGTTCTTTGTAGGTTCTGGATATTAGCCCTTTGTCAGATGAGTAGATTGCAAAAATTTTCTCCCATTCTGTAGGTTGCCTGTTCACTCTGATGGTAGTGTCTTTTGCTGTGCAGAAGCTCTTTAGTTTAATGAGATCCCATTTGTCAATTTTGGCTTTTGCTGCCGTTGCTTTTGGTGTTTTATACATGAAATCTTTGCCCATGCCTATGTCCTGAATGGTACTACCTAGGTTTTCCTCTAGGATTTTTATGGTATTAGGTCTAACATTTAAGTCTCTAATCCATCTTGAATTAATTTTCGTATAAGGAGTAAGGAAAGGATCCAGTTTCAGCTTTCTACTTATGGCTAGCCAATTTTCCCAGCACCATTTATTAAATAGGGAATCCTTTCCCCATTTCTTGTTTCTCTCAGGTTTGTCAAAGATCAAATGGCTGTAGATGTGTAGTATTATTTCTGAGGACTCTGTTCTGTTCCATTGGTCTATATCTCTGTTTTGGTACCAGTACTATGCAGCCATAAAAAAGGATGAGTTTGAGTCCTTTGTAGGGACTTGGATGCAGCTGGAATCCATCATTCTTAGCAAACTATCACAAGAACAGAAAACCAAACACCGCATGTTCTCACTCATAGGTGGGAACTGAACAATGAGATCACTCGGACTCAGGAAGGGGAACATCACACACCGGGGCCTATCATGGGGAGGGGGGAGGGGGGAGGGATTGCATTGGGAGTTATACCTGATGTAAATGACGAGTTGATGGGTGCAGCACAGCAACATGGCACAAGTATACATATGTAACAAAACTGCACGTTATGCACATGTACCCTACAACTTAAAGTATAATAATAAATAAATTAAAAAAAAAAAAAAAAAAAAACAAGCCTAACTTTTCATTTGTATTATTAGTCATGTCTGAATCTTTTTTAAAAAGAAAGATAACATAGTAGTGGTCATCTACCATAACCCAAGACTCTTCTGGTATCTTTTTTTTTTTTTTTAAGCTAATTGGAGAACACAGACAATGAAAAAGAAAAGAAAAATACATGGGCGATAATATTTATAATTTAGGTGAAGATCAGCAAGTGAGTATTTGAGGAACTACCTCCAATAATTTATCTCAAAAACAGGGGTAAAAAGTTACTTGAGATATAACTATTTTAGTATTTCTAAGTATAATAATGGTTTTAGTTTTTTGGGTACCACCTCCTTAAATCAGCTAATCAGAACACTTAATTTCTTTATATATTTTAAAATTTATTTTTATGGCAGACTGAGTAAGGTCTTTCAAGGCATACGTTTGATCAACACATTTTTATTGTCTTTAGTTGTTATTAAATCTTGTGTCTGCAAAATTTAATAGTAACTAAAGAAATGCAAATTAAGCCAGCAAAGATTTTTTTTAAAGGTTAAAGAATGGTCATAACCAATGATGGTTAGGGTATAAGAACCCTTACTGATGTGTTAATTGGTAAAACTTTTGTGGAAAGCAGTTTGAAAAATGTTTAAAAAACCATATTCTAAGATTTCTTGATAGGTGACATTGCCAGGTACTGTGTGAAGTACACATTTATACCCTTAACTTAGCAATTTCACTTCTAGCTATTTATTAAAGGGATTTTGGACAGGTACAGAAATGTGTGTACTTATTACAGATTGTTTATCAAATGAAAAATTGGCAACATATCCAGCAATAGGGAAGATTAGGTAAATGTAAACTATCCATATACTATAATACCTTTTTTTTTTTTTTTTTTTTTTTTTTGAGACAGTCTTAGGCTGAAGTGCAGTGGCACGATCTCAGCTGACTGATTGGCTGCAACCTCCGCCTCCCAGGTTCAAGTGGTTCTCCTGGCCCAGCCTCCCAAGTAGCTGTGAATAGAGGTGTGTGCCACCATGCCTGGCTAATTTTTGTATTTTTAGTGGAGACAGCATTTTCCTATGTTGGCCAGGCTGGTATCCAACTCCTGACCTTGAGTGATCCGCCCACCTTGGCCTCCCAAAGTGCTGGGGTTACAGGCATGAGCCATCACGCCCGGTCCCTGAAAAATTTTTTTGATATCTTTTTTTTCTGTTAGGTCAGACTTCTTCAAAGTAGTATGCCATATCTTAATATCAAGTGATACAATTTAAAACTTGACTAATCTCAGCTTTGTAAATATCTTTATACTTTTATTGTAGACATTAGAGTACTAATATAAATTTGAATCATATTTGCTCTTTCTGTGACTGGCAGTTTTTTATGAATATTGCTTTTTCTCTTATTTGACAAAAACTATGAGGGATTTTGAGAGAAGTGTTGGGAATTATTCTGTGGACTTATTCTTGCATGGAATTCGACATTTTTAACTTGGCTAAACTTCCAAAGGTCTTTGTACTTAGTGCAGTGACCTGCCACGTAATGAGGACGTTTACTTCTTTTTCAGATTATTTTTGACGAAAAAACTTAAAGAAGTAACAGATAAAAAGAAAATCAATCTCTTGAAAAACATAGATGAAAAGCTCACAGAAGCAGCCAGAGAATTGGGGTACTCGCTTGAGCAGAGAAGCATGAAGATGAAACAGAGAAATAAGAAAGTATGACTTCAGCCTGTTGGTCTCTGTTTTGTTATAGTGGATTTTTTTCCCCTCTCGATTCCTTCCCATCTCTACTTTCCCCGTCTCTTCCTAGCCCTGTCTTAAGAACTGGATGCTGTCCCTCAGGGGTGCTAGGAGGATGGCACTGAAATGGGGGTCAGATGGCTCCTTTGGGTTGGCACACTGAATTGCACAACTGGTGATAACACTGCTGCGGTATGCCAGTATTTACCACTCTTAATCTTGTTTATCAGTTAATCACTTCACAAAGTTAAGTGAAAGCTGCTTTGTACCTAATGAAATTTACATACATTTTCTCCAGTAAACGTGTTATATAAGCAATGCTTCTTTCTTTTTCCTTATTAATCCTATCGTTTCCTTTTGCGTCTCTCCTAATGCCTGTAGTGTGAGGGGAGTATTTTGTAAAGCAGCAAATACTTCTTAGTGTTGGATTCTTTTGGTTTTTCAGCTATAGATTTCAGAGTAAGTTAATGACAAGCTGGAAGATTTCTGGTTTGGAGTAAATGAGAATTCTATAGGAGTTTGGTCTTACGGCCTCTGGTGAAGAAAAACATTTGTCACTGGAATGAGGGCTCCCAAGTCTCCTCTAGCCTCTCACCGTTTGTCTGCCCTTGCTGGTTCATCTGAATGTTCTAAGCTAAATGGAGAACTTGTTATTCCTTAATAAACTAGCACTGATAATGTAGTACCTTAGTGTACTTAGGTTTTAAATCCTACTTCAGTTCCTTCTCTGATCTTGATTCAGCTGCAAGGGTTATATTCTGATAAGCTCTAGGCACTCTTTAGTCCTATAGACTGGAAAGTTTCTTAAAACGTACATTTTAATGAAACCCATTACAACATGGCATTTTCAAAAAAGGTTTTATATTGCTCTTCACCTTTCTAGTTATCATAGGAAGCTTCTCCCACTTTGTGACTGAGAGGAAGGGTAGTTGTAACCTAGTTAATGTATTCCTAATTTGTTTTGACTGAAGTCTGAGCATCCATACACATAATCGCTGTTAGCAAATTATTTAATCAGTCTTTTTTTATTTTTCTACCACAAGCTATACTTTATTTCAGAGGAGATTTTCTTAATTCTTCTCCATAAATAAGATATGATTGAGTTTGAAATTTCTTAGATATTTTTGTTCTAGACCCCTCCCCCATGAAGTTTCATTTTAGTATTTGTTTTTTATACAAAACAGCTGGTAAAAACAAAGACAAAAAAGAACTTACAAGACAATCATGTTTTTAATCCTCCCCTGTTGATGATTATGCTTTCAAACCCTTTTCTGTTATATGTAAGGTTGTTCTTTTATTGTTTTTGTGAGCTCTTCATTGAATTCATATTTTTCTACTGAAGAATTCAATTCCACTAGTATATGTGAGTGGCTTTGTTCTTCTGTGTGAGCGTAAGAATGTATCCACTCTAGTATGATACAGCACTGTGCAGCACACTAGAAATCAGTGTTTTTATACTGACAGTAACTTAGAGCGTAGTTTGGAATGCAGAGTCTTTATGAGTTATATCATTTGACTCTCTACAACAAATCTGCAAAGTTAGAATTATCCTATTTTATAGATGAGTACATTGAAGGTTATAGAGGTTTTGTGTCTTGTCCAAAATCTTAAATGACACATGTAAAACCCAACTTCATATTTTCCATATTTAGCATTCTTTCCACCCCATCTTCTTACTAATTGGCTCTCTGCCACTTCACCTTTTCCATACCTAGATTTCTTCATAAGGAACATTGGTTAAATGATGCTTAAAATGACAGTGTGGCACTCCATCCACCTGTGATCCGATGCTTCAGGATGCCACCCACCCCTATACAGTTTTTCTAAATTTGTAATCTTATTCTTCTTAATTTCTTAATAAAATTATGATTCTGTTGACTTCTTAATTGATACCTCTTTATGGACAATTAGTACAGGTAATCATCTGTGAAAAATCTGAACATATACCGTCATTCTTACTGTATGTTGGGCAGCCTGAGTTGGCAACTATAGCACTGCTGTCTTTTTCTTTCATTGTCACTGCTTTATGTCTTGCTTTTTACACTTATGAATATGGTATGTTTATCATTTCATATTGCCAATTTAAGATCTACCTCATAATTTTGAGTGGCTGCAGAATACTGTGCTTAGGTGTTCAAAGTCTGGGTTGCTTAAGATTTTTCACAAATACAGTCCTGCCATAGATATCCTTTTATACCTTCAGTCTCATACTTATCTGGTTATTTTTTTAGAAGAAATTCCTAGATGTAGTATTGCCAGGTCCAAAGTAGTTCGTGTGTGTGTATGTGTGTTTATAGTTTTTCTTTGCTTGTTTCTCATTTTGTGGGGTTTTCTTCAGTCTTTTTAGTTTTTTCCATGCTGGTAGGTATAAAATTTTGCACTGTTTTAATTAAAATTTCTTTAATTATAAAGGACATTAAATACTTTTCACTTCTCTGTTGGTCATTGTATTTTTTTTTTCAACTGCCTGAACTCTGCCCATTTCTCTATAGGGTTAGAATTAGTCTTTTTCTTACATGTGTTCTAATTTGGATGTTAGTCTTTTCCTTGGTTAGACTCCCTTATAGTTTAAAGACATTAATTTTTATCTACTGTTACATTTTACAGATATATTTTATCAGCTAGTCTGTTTTGTGTACTTGATTTCACTGGATAGACTTTTTATTTTTACATAGTCAACTCTTCTCTATCACAAAATTATTTTTTTAAATTTACCTTCTAGTAGTTTTATGGTTTTATTTTTACATTTAATTCTGAAATCCAGCTGCAGATTATCTCGATAGAAAGATTAAGATAGAAGACAATTACTTCATTTTTTTCCCAAGTGGTAAGCAGTTCTCTGATAACTTCCGTTGAATAATCTACCCTTTCTGGCAGCTTAATAAAGGATAATGAAAAAAGCAAGAGACTGGGAGAATAGGGAGATGAGAGAGAAAAAATCTTTACGATATAGAGACTTAGGTGAGAGGCCTTTAAAATTGGAGTTTGGTTTTTGGGTTGTGTCCTTCCTCTGCCTTGGAAACGTTTCACTGAATTGCACAAAGAAGTGGAATATTTGTACAAATGTTTTGCTAAGGAAAGACCTAAAAATAATGCCACTAACATGAGCTACAGGAAGAATGGAAACTGGAAGGGTTATGGTGGTAGTTGTAGTTGGGCCTGTTTTTGTCTTTGAAGACTACCACTTAATGAAAGCTCACTGGTTATGTGATTTGCCTCCTTAAAGGACACCACAAACCTAGAAGCTGCCCTACTTTTGAGAGGTTTGCAAACAAGCCTAAATATTCCAGGTAAAAATAGGGGGGTCTGAATTTGGCAGGATGGATGAGAGGAGTCCTGTCCTATCATGTCTTCTTGCTGACAAAAACTGTTTGTTACTTTTTCTTTTAGACGCAGGTTCCTCTGTGCTTTCTACCAAGAAAGTACTTTGACCTTAGAGGAAACCGATATTTTGGCTTGCCTTCTAGGATGTATTGGGTTCTTCCTTAACAAATCAGGATGCAGACTTCCAAGTGACTGGCACAATTAAGAAAAGCCAATTATTTCACAGTTCTGTGGTTACTTCAAGTGTTTAACTTTTAGCTACTTTTCAAGAAAAAAATAGTGTTAAATTTTTACCCTGGAGTTCAAATTTACTGAAATAAAATGTCATTGAATGTTACATTTTGGCAGTAATGTTGAGGGTTATGTATTTGGGGTTTTTTTTTTTTTTTTTTTTTTTTGATGTCTACTTACCATGATTACATTTTATTCTTTTCTTTAACGTAGGTTGTGACAAAGACCTTTCATGGTGCAGGCTTGGTTGTTCCAGTAGATAAAAATGATGTTGGGTACCGAGAGCTCCCTGAAACAGATGGTAATGTATTTCATATGTAAACATGTGCATATATGTTAATGCATGTGGAGGAAGGTTTTGCTTATATTGGGAAGAAGATATGTCCATATACATTTTGTGACACAGTCACTAGACCTTAGTAATAAAGAGTAAGCTTAGGTTTTAGAGTCTGTCATTCCTGAATTAAAACCGAGTTTATAGCTGTGTGGCCTGGAACAAATTACTTAATCCTGTGAAACTTTGTCTTTTTCATCTGTAAAAATGAAGTTAATCTTATGCACTTCATAAAGGAATTTGGGGCATAAACAAGTATTAAGGTACTTGGCAAAATGCTTGCCTCAGTGCTCAAAATTTGGTAGTTATTTTTAAGAATTTAAGTAATTTTAACCGGTTGCCTACTTCCTGGGAACTATTTCCTAACCTTTGACGTTACAGTCAACTTGCAAAATAGTAATTATTGAAATTGTGTGTGTTTTTATGGTTCTTTGTGAACATTTTTTCATCGGCATATAAAAGTGATTTAGCTTTCAGAAGCCCAAGATTCTGAACGACTTCATCTATAAGTATAAAAACACTTTCAAAATGGACCACTGCACATAACGTAGTTATTGCTACACTGAACATCCAGAATTAAAATTGCTTCTCAACTCTTTTCCCCTCGTTCCATTCCCTTATTGTGAACAGCCCTTCTGGTATTCCTTTATTGATCATCCTCTTCTGGGAGGATAAAACTTAAAGGGAAATCAAACTTAGCACCTTCTCAAGGAACCACGTATTCCTGCCTAACGCACGTATTTGGCCACCTATTTTTCAGAACAGAACTAACTAGCCTTGGTAGTTACCAGTCTCTGGGGCTGTGACCTGGACATCTGCATTTAAACCAGTTCTCTAAAGCAGTTCTTCTCAAACTTTACTGTGCAGCGTCTCCAGCCAGTAGATACAGATGTCTTAGATGGCAGCTATTCATATGGACCTGTTTTCGCTGTACCCCTGCCTCTTAGAGGAGTGTCATAGGGAAGATGAATGTGGCTGAGCTGTCCAGTGTGATGACCACTGAGTGCCTCACATGTGGCGACTGCAACAAAATTTGTAACTTGTATTTATTTATTTTTTATTTTGTGTGTGTGTGTGTGCGTGACAGGGTCTCACTCTGTCACCCAGGATGGAGCACAGTGGTGCAATTATCCTATCTCGGCCTCCCGAGTAGCTGGGACTACAGGTGTGCACCATCATGCCTGGCTAATTGGTGTTTTTTTGGTTTTGTTTTGTTTTGTTTTGTCCTGCAGAGACAGGGTCTCACTCTGTTGCCCATGCTGGTCTCGAACTCCTGGGCTCACGTGATCGACCCACCTCGGCTTCCCAAAGTGTTGGGATTATAGGTGTGAGCCACTGTACCTGGCCTGTAATTTTTATTAGTTTAAGTTTAATATAATTTTAATTAGTTTAAGTTTGTAAATTAAAATAGGATTAAATATTTGTTACATTGATTATATGTTGACGTAATACTACTTTGGAAATACGGGTTAAATAAAATATCTTAATTTCACCTGTTGTTTTGTTATTTTTTGTTAACTCCTCCTCCTGCCCCACCTGTTTCTTTTTTCATGTGGATACTGAAAAAAATGTGTAGCCCACATTGTATTTCTCTTAGACAGGTTGATCTGTCCTATATATCTTCCCTGAAGCCAGAGGCAATTAGTCTCTGATGGGACCAGTGTGGGCCCTAGCTACTGGTCAGCCTTCTGCTTCTACACTAAGTCATCTTCTCTTCATGTCTGTCCTTAGAGAGAGCTTTAAAAAGCATGATTACTGTCTCTTTTGGGAAAGGTTGAACACATTTGTTGTAGAGATGGGCAGTCTCTAAAACTTTTGGGGTGATGGATGTTAAATTGTAGTGCCCGGGAGTAAAGCCTGTTACCCTACTGTAGTTGTGGTTCTGGGGTTTTATATCCAAGTCTAATATTCTAGCCATTAGATCCTTCTGTATTTAATTAGTTTTGAAGTGTAGCAAAACATAAAAGTGAAGGACCTAATCTTCTTGCTCTTGCCTAGTGTCGTTTGCCAGGAGGTATAATTGACCGTTTGTTAACGTCACAATGATGAGCAAATCACAACTAAGTTTGTTCTTAACCCTTTGAAGCTTCTCACAATAACGCTTTTCTTCTTTCTTTCTTTCTCCACTTTGTCGTTTTTCTCCTCATTGTCGTCTTTCTCCTCTTTCTCATCTTTCCTCTCTTTGCTTTTTTCACTCTTGTCGACCAGGCTGGAGTGCCATGACAGGGTCTCAGCTCACTGGAACCTCTGCCTCCCGGGTTCAAGTGATTCCCCTGCCTCAGCCTCCTGAGTGGCTGGGAATACAGGCGCCCGCCACCATGCCCAGCTAATTTTTGTATTTTTAGTAGAGAAAGAGTTTCAACCATGTTGATCAGGCTGGTCTTGAACTCCTGACCTCAAGTGATCTACCTGCCTTGGCTTCCCAAAGTGTTGGGATTATAGGCGTGAGCCACCGTGCCCAGCTGAGGGCACTGTTTTTCATACTTGGTTTTCTGACCGTAGACTGCATACTACTATCCGAAGTAAGAAGAGTTTCCTGCCTAATTTGCCAACTCCTGGACTAGTCTGCTGAAAAGTTATGTAAACTCATGATCTACTCATGGAATAGACTTTTAAAAAAATCATGACTGTAGCTGGGCGCGGTGGCTCACACCTGTAATCCCAGCACTTTGGGAGGCTAAGGCAGGCAGCTCATGAGGTCAAGAGACTGAGACCATCCTGACCAACATGGTGAAACCCTGTCTCTACTGAAAATACAGAAATTAGCCACGTGTGGTGGTGTGCACCTGTAGTCCCAGCTACTTGGGAGGCTGAGGCAGGAGAATTGCTTCAACCTGGAAGGCAGAGGTTGCAGTGAGCCAAGATTGTGCCACTGCACTCCAGCCTGGCGAGTTCATGACTGGCACTAAATCCTGTGAAATAGTCGCTAATAAAGAAATGCTAGTTAACCTGTTTTTAAGCTTGAATCCTAAGTAGAAAAATTACCAAATTGCCATTCTAAATTAAAGTGCTGCAGATTACTACCCAAGGTGGCACAAGTTGTACTAGTATAAAAAGTCTTAAGAGGAAAAACCGTCTTTATAGTCTTCTTACCTTTGAAGACTGATTCATTTTCTAACTGTGTAGATAATCTTTTATATCATTGATTTCTTTCAGCTGACCTCAAGAGAATTTGCAAGGCAATAGTTGAGGCTGCAAGTGACGAGGAGAGACTAAAAGCTTTTGCTCCCATTCAGGAAATGATGACTTTTGTGCAATTTGCTAATGATGAATGTGATTATGGCATGGGGCTTGAATTGGGAATGGACCTCTTTTGCTATGGCTCACATGTGAGTAAAAGAATCCTCCACCTGGTACCCACTGCCACATCTCCCTCCTGTCCTTGCGACATACATCCACACATGAATACATGCACATTTATACCCCCAAATTCCAGCAGAGGTAAGATAGGGATTCAGCTTGTATTTCAAAATGAAGGTTTTAATGTGATTTTTTTAAAAGTAGATGTCCAAAAAATGTTTTAAATTCATCTTCTATTCTGGCAAATGTAATAGCCAAGATTATTTGCCTTCATGCTTACATTAAAGTGAATTTACTTATTAGACACATTATAGGGACGTGCCTTCTTGCTGTGTGTACGTTTGGGGCTAGGTATGGGGGTGTATGCACACACCTTAGGCTCCATTTCGTTTCCACTGTGGTGGGGATATTTGTTATTGTGCTTAAGTTCTTAGATGAAAAATACACTTTAAATTATTTAAGCTTTATAAGAAATGCTGTTTTACCATTAACTAATTGTTCATTAAATAAGAAAATTTTACTTAATACCTAAACCAGTGCTTACTCAACCATAGTTGCCTGAAGGTCAAAGAGGCAATAAGGTGTAGCGGGCATGTCATGTTTCTGGGGCCAGACTGGTTGTAAATCACGTCTTCCCAGTGTGTAAGATGGGGCAAGCTTGCCAACACCTTTGTATCTGTTTCTTTACCTATAAGATATGTCTGCACACGTGCACGAGTGCACACCCATCCGCAGATCATTTAATTCTCATTTAACCTACTTTGTAACCAAGTCACAGAGAGGCAAAGCATCTTGCCCAGGTTCACACAAGCAGTCTGGTTCCAGAGTCAGTGCCTAAATCAGTGCAGTAATTCCCAGACTGTAAAATGCATGTGACTCACCTGCAGACACTGTTAAAATGCACTCTATCGGTAGGTCCGGGATGAGATCTGAGACTGCCATCCTCCCAGGTTGACGGTCATGCTGCTGCTCTACAGACCACACTGAGAGGAGCAAAACTAAACCAGTAGCTCTCCAACTTTAGCATGCATCAGCGTCACTGGGAAGGCTTGTCCAAACGCACACTGGCGCTCTCCCCACCCTCCCCAAGTTTGATTGAGTTCTAGGGTGGGTCCTGAGAATTTGCATTTCCAGCAAGTTACCAAGTGAAGTTGATGCTCCTGGTCAGGGGTGTAATTTTGAGAACCCTGCTATAAACCATATTATACTACTTTTCTTTGCCCACCTCATAGATAGTTACCAGTAAAACTAATCAAAATGTTTAACAGCCAGAATGACAGTCATTGACCAGTCCAAATAGTACTTGACCTAGAGAGGCCCTAGCCATAAATAAGTAGAGCCATAAGATGTGAACCAGTGAATAGCAAACTCGATTGTTGTGAGAATGAAATAACGTGTATGAGTTATAAAAAGGTTTAGCACAGTACTTACCACATATTAAGGGCTAAATGTTTATTATGATCAGCAAAATGGTGGTATATGTAGATAATAGCAGTAATCTAAAATCTTTTGATAAGCCTAAGGCAGTGACTTTTAACAGGGATTGGGAGGCGGTACATGTTAGGGATGGGGGAGAGAAGGAATTTGAGGATAAAGGCAATATGATCTGAAAACTCACTTTCAGCATAGCTATTCTTACAGAATTAATAGGGGAAATAAAGCTTAAACTTTTGACTGGGAATACACCAGAGAGAATAAAAGTATTTGTGGGCATTGTTTGGGGTGAGAAAAAGTTGATAAAACCTGAGGGAATAAGGAAGCTCAGATTTAATTTGGTTTTCTTAATTTTCAAGGTATGCCTCATCTGGAGCAACAAGACTGCTTCTTAGAATGGCAGGCGCCTATCCTGAAATTATGTTCACTAACCACTTGAAGGTGTAGCTAAAATGATTTTGGAAGCAGCCTTTGTTAAACAAGTGCTTTGTTGATATATTTTCTGCTACTTATTAGGATATCTGCTATATTCTCTATTTAATGTTCTATTTTTATTTTTCAGTATTTTCATAAAGTTGCTGGCCAGCTGTTACCTCTTGCATATAATCTGTTGAAGAGGAATCTGTTTGCAGAAATTATTGAGGATCATCTGGCAAACAGAAGTAAAGAGAACATAGACCAACTTGCTGCATGAGTAAGGTGGCTTTGATTGGTGTACAGTATTTCAAAGGACTAGTATCAAACTTGTGATTTTTGTTTTGTTTTTAAGGAATACAAAAAATAAACATTTACTAAAAACGTTTATAAGGTTCTTCTGCCTGGTTTTCCTTGTTTAATGTGCAAGCAAATGGCAGTCAAATAATCTAAATGGTGACCTAATCACATTTTGGAGGACAACTAAAGTCACCCTCTGATATGTCACAGGAAGCCGCTGTCTAATGCCTCTGGCTAACTAGACCATCCTTACAGAATCCTGTTTCAATATTTATCATATGGGCAACTAAGAATATTTCTTCTGAGTCTTGAGTTAATAGCTATAACTTTAAGGATTGGGTTTATGGCAGGTGAGGAGGGGAACAAAAGGAAACTTAGAAGGAAACTCATGATACTGTGATCAACACTCCCAGGGTGCCTGACCCCGACCTACCCAAACTGCATTTTGGGTAGTAGTTCCAGGTGACTCCCAGCAAGTAGTCCAGTTATCCCATTATGTATATTATTTTAAATCTTCTCTTGATTCAGTCTGTCATTTACTAATATAGCCTAGTATATTGATACATAGTATATCGTTTTAGTATAAGATAGTAATCAGTATACCATTAAAGTTTTTCATTGCAAATGATTTCACTGGATTTTTAGTACGAATCTGTGGATAGCTGTGTTTTACTAGATCCAGATTTTCCTTCAACCTGATGATATGTCCTTCACCTTAAAAGCAGAGGGCAGGGCCGGGCGCGGTGGTTCATGCCTGTAATCCCAGCACTTTGGGAGGCTGAGGTGGGCCGATCTCCTGAGGTCTGAAGTTCATGACCAGCCCGGCTAACATGGTGAAACCCTATCTCTACTAAATATATACAAAATTAGCTGGGTGTGGCAGTGCATGCCTGTAATCCCAGCTACTTGGGAGGCTGAGGCAGGAGAATAGCTTGAACTCAGGAGGTGGAGGTTGCAGTAAGCAAGATCCCACCATTGCACTCGGCCTGGGCAACAAGAGCGAGACTCCGTCTCAAAAAAAAAAAAAGGTAGAGGGCAGACCATGAAATGCAGAATAGCAAACTTCCTGGATGGGGCTGAGGAGCGTATAAGCTTTTTTCCCCTTTCTATGAAGTTCAAATTGAAAAAGCACCATCCCCCCCACCCCAGGCCATCTAGTTAAACCTCCACATTGTGTAAGATTGATGTGATTTACTCAAATAACTTCTTGACTAGCCAGTAGTTCTCCAAAGTTCTTACTGTCAGCTATCCCCTTAAAATATATTTGAGGTACTTATTTATATAAGGGTATGAGTAGACTATTAAAAGACAACACTTAGAATTTTAAATATAAGTAGCATTCCTCATCTCCCCAATTAGGCTGCAAGCTTCTTAAGGGCATATATTTTATGGATGTATATCCCCGTCAGTAACACAAACCTTTGGAATTGCACTTACTGAATAAAATGACCCTGTCACATGTTCTTAAGTGCCAGATAGAATCAAACTGGCAAGAGCTGGGAAACTGATAAGATGCCTGGGGTTAAAGATTCTTGACTTCTCAGACAAATAGTCTTCTGGGGTCAAAAATCTCTGCCACAACCAAAATCTGTTCCTTTCTGCCAATGGCTCATGCTGCCTTTGGAGGCAGGTAAGATGCTTTCTTCAAGGTAGGTATCTTTTGTATAATATCTTAACCAAAATGAAACTGAAAAGATCTGCAGCTTCCCTTTCATCACTGCAGGAACTTTTACAGCTCTAATGGGGAGGTCTCAGGTTTTAAGGAACTGCCATTTTAGTTAGGTAAGTAGCTCCAGGCGCTGGAACCATCTGAACTATTAACTTGTTTTATATTAAAACATTACAGTTACAGTTGGCTCACATATATTTTATTAGAAAAGATGACCAAATCACACTGGTCTTAAATAATTTTAGGCCATAAATTTTAAATAAAATGTTAGAAGTTTGAGCTTTTTTCCTCAGATTTCTTTAGTTTCTAAGGGGCTCAACTATTTCTAAATACTGCCCCTAATGTTAACACACTTTTTTTTAATATCCAAATTCATGTATCCCATTAAATATTTGTTTAACTAGAAATATTAATTTTGTCACTTGGTGATCCAACAGTCTCAACTGTGTAGTGTGTAAGATTTTTTTTTTTATATGCCTTGTCAGCAATATGGATTCCAGAAGGATTTCTTATCAAGGAACAAATGAAAGGGGACAAAAAAGTTGAATCGGCTTTTCATCCATTCCTCACAGAAACCTAACATGAATGTGTATCTTCAGGAAGCTGGGCATATCAGAGCCAAGATAGAAATGAGACATAACAACTCTAAGAATATGGTGGTTATAATTCAGATGATACAGTTGTGAATGGGGTTTCCTGAAGACAGTAACAAGAAATGCGGATTTCCAGTCTCAAACTCCGACCAGTTGTGTCAGGGCTGCTAACCTGTTTTCAGGAGGTACTATCTTCCAACTACTGAACGTTTTTCATTCAAGAGCAAGCTCCCTACAGAAGATACCAAACCTTATCTTTTTCCTTCACTAAAGGCGTAGTCCACTTAAACCTAATTCACTAAAGATTACGTACCTAGGATCTGGTCACTCAATGGCTATAGTAGCTTCCAAATGGCATCTATATACTTCTGTTCTCTGAGAACACAGTTTAAGTGCCTAGGCTCTTGAATGAAGAACTTTGATCCAATCAGGATTTAACAGAAAGGCATTACCAGTTCAAATTTAGCTAAGCTTACCTCTCAGAGTTCAATAATGGAGTTTCTATATAACCTCTCAAACATGTATGTAGGATGATAACACCCAAGGAAAAATGAAAGCTACAAAACAGATTGCTATAAACTACTCTGCAGTGTCCTAAGAACTTTGCATTACCTCAAACACTGACCTTACCAGCTTAATGGCATTCTGTCCAAACTAGTCCTATCATAATTAATTTTAATGTCTGGCTGGACATGGTGGCTCACACCTGTAATCCCAGCACTTTGGGAGGCCAAGGTGGGCAGATAGCTTAAGGCCAGGATTTCGAGACTAGCTTGGGCAACATGGTGAAACTCTGTCTCTACAAAAAATACAAAAGATTAGCCAGGCATGGTGGTGCACACCTGTGGTCCCAGCTACTCAGGAGGCTAAGGTGGGAGGATTGCTTGAGCCCAGGAGGCAGAGGTTACAGTGAGCCGAGATCGTGCCACTGCACTCCAGCCTGGGCAATGTACCTATGTGTGTATATATATATGTAGGTGATCCCTACAATACTCTAACCTCGACTTACTCTTTCAGTGATCTAGATTAGGGACTGACTGACAAACTAGAAACTAGTACCTTCTCAGTGCCAATGAAAACCTCCCAAATCTCAACCTCAAGCATCCTACTGTCTTAACATCATCATTCATCCTTCCGTCTCTTTCCCTCTAGTAATTTTTAAACATGACAGTCCCCTACAGTTCACAAATTTAACCACCTTTTTCATTCTTCATCCACTCCATTCCTGATTCTCTTTACCGAGCCTTTAGATTCTACTCCCCATCATTACAATCACTCCCTGCATCCTCCACTCCACTACCCTTCTCTCCATTTGTTGTATGTATCTGTTAACCTTAAGCCAGGGTTTAAAAAACTGCCTATTCCTTACCAGAGTCTGCTCAGTACCAGGTGGCTGGAGAAAAAACACAACCGTGGCAGCCTGTGTTATTTTAACCTCACGTTGGTCACGCTGGATGCCCATCGATCCTACTTTCTCATCTCTCAATCCCCAAACCCAACTCCCATCCTCAGTTTATTTCACTGAGAAAATAGGAGCAACCAAAATAACTTCAACAGAATCCCACTGCCTTACCAACTACCCCTTATACTCTGCCTTTCCTCCTTTCTATGAAGGTTGAATGTGTGTCCAAGACCCCATCCTCCCTTGCTTGCTTAAGGGCCTATTTTTCCTCTCAAACATTCCTATCATTAACAGAAAGGCTATAATTTCCTGCATCTTAAAATCTGATTGTTCTCAGATTAATTTTCCCTGTCAAACTATCAATAGCAGAAGAAGCTATAATATCCTGCATCTTAAAACTATCACGCATTACTTTCCTGGAAACCTCACAGGAAGAATTGCAATCGTCGTCTTCTTCCAATCTCTGTTGGATCCACTGCTTTCAGGCTTTGGCTTGCCACCATCGTGCTGAACCTGCTCTGGGGGAAGCTATCAGTTCTCTCTACATTGGTGCATTTTGAGCCCTCATTTACTTCACCTATCAGCAACACGTGACAATTAATCATCGCTCCTTGAAACTATTATTCATTTGGTTTAGGGGACTACCCTTCTTGAGACAGGGTCCTGCTCTGTCACCCAGAATGGAGTGCAGTAGTACCATCGTAGCTCACTGCAGCCTCCAACTCCCGGGCTCAATCGATCCTCCTGCCTTAGCCTCCTAAGTAGCCAGGACTACAGGCATGTGCTACCATGCCCAACTCATTTTTATTTTTTAATTTTTTGTAGAGACCTGGTCTGTGTTTCCCAGGCTAGTCATGAACTCCTGGGCTCAAATGATCCTGCCCAACCGTGACCTCCTGAAGTGCTAGATTTGCAGGCCTGAGCTACCACACCCAGCTTATTTTTAAATAAATCCACCAGTGGAATACCCTTCTTTGAATGTCCCTACTCGCAACCCAACCTCACTGGCGGCTCCCTCATTTGCTGGCTCACCTCCCCAGATCTAAACATAAGCATGCTTCAGTGCTTAGTCCTTGTACCTCTTCTCTGTCTGCACTCAATCCGTGGTACTCTCCTGTCTCAGGATGCCGCCGCCCGGGTAGCTCTCAGGCTGGGCCTTTCTCCTGAACTCGAGTCTGATACATGCTAATGCCTATGTGACACCCCCACTTGGAAGTATAAAAGGCACTTAAAACAATGTCTAAAACCAAAATTTCTCTGCACACAACACCCCAGCCCCAATCTATTCTTAAGTCTTTCCCAACTCAGCCAGTGGCCATTCCATTGTTCTGTCATTAGCCAAAAACTTTGCAGACATCCTTGACTCCTCATCACACTCTACATCCAACCCATTCACAAGTCCTGTCTATTCTACCTTCAACATG